CAGAAACTTAAGAGAACAAAACAACATTTCAGAAACAGAGACGAAGAAGGGCTGGCACATCTTTCATCACTCCCTCTTGCTGCCTTTCCACATAAAATTTTGGTTTAAGAGAGTTGTAATTTACCCCATCCCTGAAGAAACGGCAAAAACTTTGCAACAGATGTTCTGTCTAAGAAGTAGCAATCAAAGTCCTTGCTATGGATTTTGAAGACTTCAAGAAGGGAAAATATGTAAATATATAAAAAATAAAAGGCCAAAAAAAATTGGCAGAAGGAAAAAACCAAAATTTTGAATATAAATTTTGTTTAAATGGGAGCTTAAATTTCTGATAAATATTATGAACTAAGCCAACATGTAAGGACCCTCACCTCTTGCTCCAGACTCATGAAAACACTCCATAAAATAGAAAATAACAATGAGAGATCAAGCATGAGCTAAAATAAACCAGAAGTGCCCATATTCATGATAGCAGCAAATGAGCTATTTAGAAATAAATCTAATAGAGACGTGTGAGAATTTTGCTGGCAAAATGCACAAAATACCAATGAAGGTCATAGAAGAAAATGTAAATGGATAAATAGGCTATGTAAGTAGATGGCAAGACTTGCTGTTATAAAAATATCTAATTTTGCCTATTACGTCTATAAAAAATGCAAATCCTTATCAAAGTCCCAAAAGGAATTTTTTTTCAAGAAGAACCTAGTCAGTGTCACTATAAAATTTCTATGAAAGAGTAAAGTTCCAGGTGATTCTGACTGAAGAACACTGAGGAGACTTCTGTCCAGGTACTGAACCAGGGTCTCCTGTATTGCAGGCAGATTCCTTACCATCTGACCATCTTTCCACTCTTTACTTTCTGCTACCGTAGAAGCCCTGTCCTGTCATACACCAGAACTTAAAGAACAGTATATAAAACAGTAACCAACTAACACGGCCATACAGGTGAATGAAAAACTGTACAGAGTCCAGAAAAGACTCAGGCACACACAGGTACCTACCATGTTACATGGATGATATTACATGCTTTCCACAGAGAAAAACTGAAATGAAAAATTCTCTTCACCTAATACATTTCATGTGTTTTAGGCTTTCAGGAAACAAAACTTTAACACAAATACAATTCTATAAATCTGCCTTTCACACACACATACACACGATAATGCATAGAGAGCTTGATTCTTTTTCTAAAAAGTAAATAAATAATATCCATATACGCATCTGAATCAACCATACTACCCCTGTTCTGTCCCAATGGAGAGCCATATTTTATCTAAGACTAATACATGCTTATTATGGAAAAATCAGAAGATGCAACGAGTATGAGAAAGAAAGAAGAGAAAGATCCATATTTCCACCAAAGATGAGTACTTTTAACATTTTGATGATTATTCTTCTCAGTTTTTATTATTATTTTTGTTAAAGATACACCCATGTATGCACAGAAAAATCAGTTTTATGGTGTGGGTTCTGCCTTTTTTTCCACTTAATATTGTATCACGACTATTTCCCCAGTGTGTAAGATTTTTTTTTTGAATGAATCAATCACACTTTTATGAGAGAACTGTCCTGTTTTAACTGTCTCTTTTCTTAATGTTAACCGTCAATTCCAGATTTGGAACACTGGATAAAGGCAATTAAGACACATTCGAGGATTATAAATATTTTATAAGTGAGCTAAGAAAATGCAAACACATAGGAAATATAAACAAGCAAGACAGGATGATAAAAACAAGAAATGGTGAGAGAGGAGGAAGGTGTGCAGGGTGGATGTGGCTGAAGACAAGGAAGACCAATGAGACTGTGGTCTGTCTGGAATGCTGTGAGCTTGACAGACAATACCAAAGTGATCCCAACCTACCGAGCCCAAGCGGGCAGCTGTGTTCTGGTAGGTTCACTGCAGATGTGTATGCTGTCCCCTCCGTGAAGCTAAGCTTAATTTCAAGATCAAACTGCTGCCTCTGCTACGCAGTAACCACCCTGCTCTGGAGACCAACAGTATCTCTAATCAAACATGCATGGCCACAAACGTTGAGAAGAAATAACTTAATTCTTTGTGGAAAATTATACCAACGTCCACGGATCCTGGGAGAATGTCATTATGTGGAAGAAAAGGCAAAGAAGAAACAGAATGAAGCCAGACAAAACTGCTTTCGCACACACAGCAAAGACATCCTCTGCTAAGAGGAGGGGTTCACCTGTTCCCCGACAGTGACTCCGTTATAAACTTGAGGTGTATGTTACAGATGTTTTCTCGGCAACTGTTCCTATCCTAACAGGCACCCTAACCAAATAGCGTCCTAGAATATTAAGCCGGGGAGAAAAGAACGCTGGATCTAAACAACGTTCCATCTGTCTTGAAGGTTTAATGTGCAGAAAGGACAAACAATATGAAGGCTGTTTAAAACCATCAGTGATCTGGTTACAAATCCTCTTAGAACACATGATGGGAAAGTAATTCGACACAATTCAAAGAATATTTACTGAGTGCCAATGTGCTGGGTACTGTGCTTGCTGCTCAGAATTCAAGATGAGCAACACTGCCGAATGTCAGGAGTATAGAGGAAGGTGACAAAGTTTACAAATCAATGACTAACACAATGGGGTAAATCCTACAGAAACAGACAAAACAGTATAGAAATTTAACAATCATCTGCAAAGTTACATATGAAAATTCTTTTCACGTAAATACCTTATACCTTTATCATTCATTTTCTTAATGGTATCTGTTGAAGAACAACCTTTAATTTTGAAGATGTACAACTGATCAATTTTTTTCTTTTATGGTTAGTATATTATATGTACTAATGAAAAGTCTTTGCCTGTTTCAAAGTTTCCCACTTTCTTCCAGAAGTCTATGGTTTTTTCCTTTTATGTTTAGGTCTATGATTCACTTTGAATTAATTTCTGCATATGTATGAGGCCCCTACCTCACTTTACCCTACGGACATTCAGTTGTATATGCATTATTTATTTTTTATTTTTTTAACTTTTTATTTTGTATTGAACTATGGCTGATTAACAATGTTGTGATAGCTTCAAGTGAACACCCAAGGGACTCAGCCATACATACACATGTATCCATTCTCCCCCCAAACCCCCTCCTATCCAGGCTGCCACATAGCACTGAGCTGTATCTGCATCATTTAGTGCTCCCCGCTAAATTACATTGGTGCCTGTGACTGTGTACCTGTGGGTCTGTAATATATTCTCTATTCTGCTCCACTCTTCTATGTGTCAGCCTTCACACCCCTCCATACTTTTTATTACTGACTGTATACCAAGACTACAAGTCAGGCAGTAAAAGTCTTCTGACTCTGTTCTTTTTGGCTAGATCCACTGCAATTCAATGCAAATCTAAAATTCCAGTTGTGTGAGTTTCTACAAAAAGCTCCCTGTGACACTGGATGGGCCTGTGCTGCAATAATAAATGAACTTGGGGGAAATGGGCAGCTTAAACTTTGAATAATTCAAATCGTGAACTAGGGGTATATCCCTATATTTGTTTAGATATTTTTTATTTTCTCTCAGTAATATTTTGTGGTTTTCTATGTAGATATCTTGTGCCACTTCTGTTAAATTTATTCTGCAGTGCTTTACACATTTTGATGTTATCGTAAATAACATTTCCTAAGATTTCGGTTTCCATTTGCTGCTTGTGAACACAGAGAAAAACAACTGATTTTTATGTGTTGCTTGATGATCATACTGTCAGTGAATAAAGACAATTCTGCTACTTCCTTTTGAATTTTATTATTTCCTGATGTACTGAAAAACTAGGCTAATATAATAATGAACAAGGGACTGAAGTGGGTATCTTTGGGTCCTTCCCTTTGCAATGGGAAAGTGTTCAACTTTCATCACCTGTTTCCTCAACTCCTGGTCCCTGTCATGACATCACAACAATCATGCCCCACAAAAACGCACACTGAGGTATCACAGCAGACCTTCAGCTTCTCTGAACCTTCACTGATGGTTCAAAGCAGGAGGAAAGAGATGATGTCAGCTTAGAGCACTGGCTGGGCTCAGGACCTCTATTTACTTTAGGTCACATGTGGAAGAAGATGAACAGAGAACGACTGCAGAGGAGGGAACTGGGGTTTAAACCTGCGACTGGAGGACAGTGTCTCCCTGGGTCAGAGGGGACGACGGCAAGATCACGGACAACTGCAGCGGCCACAAAGGTGGCCGAGAGGTCCCAGCAGAGCCTTGGTTTCGGGAAAATGAGAGCAGGACAATCACCCGGGGCCGGGGCTGGGAACAGTGATAGAGAAAGTCTTAAAGGGACTCAAAAGAGACACACCAGTTCTAGACAGCAGGAAACCAAGATTCTTTAGAATCACAGAGCAACAGCAGCTGTACCCCATGTAGCAAACATCTGCGGCTTCACACGGACCATCTCAGAAAGCCACAAGAGGAGGGGAAAAGTAGGTAAAGAAAGGTTTTGTTAAAACTGACAATTTGGAGGACTTCCCTGGCATTCCAGTGGTTAACAGTCCATGCTTTCACTGCAGGGGGCATAAGTTTGATCCCTGGTTGGGGAACTAAGATCCTGCATGCCACCTGATGTGGCCAAAACAAACAAAAACTGGCACCATTGTAGAAACTGACTGGAGACTGGCAAATATCAATGATTACATATCCGGGTGGTATGAGGAGGTTCATGACATTACTGTCTCTACTTTTGTGAACCTCTGGAAATGTTTACAATAAAAAAGAGTTTTAAAATTGCGTAACCGTCAAGATACCTCAGGAACAACAACTTGTCTGAACTTTGCAGAAGGTTTTAGGAATTTCAGAGATACAATTGGACACACATACATACTCTAGAGGACTTATTTTTCATCGAGAAGGAAGCAAAACCTGTTTCTATTTGACCAGGATTTGTCCCAAATCTAAGGAGCAGGTGAGCCTTAAGGGGGTCGGGGTAGCCAACGGTCAGAAGATGAAAGTGATGAGGACCAGCACTGCTAGCGAGTGGAGAACATGGTAAAAATACTTACTTCATCTCCAGAACTTCCTCCAAGTGCTTCCTTCTCTCAGCCCGGAGGTTGGTCAGATGCGTTTCCTTCTCAGCCAGGGACTGCTGAGTGGAGGACAGCTTCGCCTTCATGGACTCCAGCTCCTGCTTCACCTTCTCCATGGCCATCAGTAACTCCTCCACCTGCGAGAGATATGGAAAAGACAGAACTGAGCGCCCAGGCTGGAGACAGTCAGAGGAGCTGGGCGGTGGGCAACGCCTGGTCCAACAACATTGAAGACACGTCGGAAATCCTGCTCTCCCGCTGTATCACACACACATGGCACGTAAAGAACTACATCTCTCACGTTTGCTCTTATCATTTTCACTTCAGGACAGAAAGAACTTCATTTTCTTTTTGGTAAATGCAAGAGCATCAGTTCAAGAAGTAACACCCTGCCACAGACAACCCCTTTAAAGGAACTTACTTGGAAATAGTCCAGAAACTTCCATGGAAATAACACTATAATGCAGATAAAAATATAAGGCCCAAAATCATAATAAACATTTCTAGAAGGGTTTTAGGACATAAGAGCCATAAACTTGACTAATACCAGATGCAGAATAAACATAAATGAGTCACTTTTATTTGTTCAAACTGAGGTTCTTCTGTTTACACCATCACCAAGAATTTTGAGTTAAAGAAACAGCTAGAATTCAATCAGATAATTTCTTGCTCTAAAGCCAGGTAGGTAGAATTTTCTCAAGAAAGGCAGGAAGAAAAGAAGAAATATATCTCTATGACCAGATGGAGAAGAGACAGGATGCTTGAGAAAGACCTGTAAACACACCAGAGAGAAAGAGGACAGATGCTGAGAAGAAATAAGAAACTAGGATAGCAAGGTCAGCACTTTATCAGTTATTTCCACATGTGGTTCCAAAAATTAGAATTATTTAAATAAACAAGTTCACCTTAATTCAGAGGTCAAAATATGCAGACAAAAAGTATCTGTTATCACCTAAAAGCAACCTCAGCAAGATAACCAAACAGCCAAGTATACCAATCAGAAGATTACTGACAAGAAATAATCTTGGTTATAAATACAATCCTTTTCAGAGGTAGAGGTGAGTGTAAGTAGTTTGGTAACAGCAGACTCACTGGAAAAGACCCTGATGCTGGGAAAGATTGAGGACAAGAGCAGAAGGGGATGACAGAGGATGAGACAGTTGGATGGCATCACTGACTCAATGGACATGAGTTTGATGAAGCTCTGGGAGATGGTGAAGGACAGGGAAGCCTGGCGTGAGCAGTCCATAGGGTCACAAGGAGTCAGACACGAATGAGTGACTGAACAACAAAAAATAGCTGTTAAAAACTAACAGATACATTTAGTTTGCTGGCGCTTGAATTACTTTGAGTATCTTTTCGGAAGTGGTCAAGTTACTGTTCTCAGCTAATAGCATCCTGACTGTCCCACCTGCTCTGAGACTTCTGTTATTATGCAGATCTCCTCGGATATGTACTTACACATCTGCAAGCTTTACAACAAAAAAGCTTTGCCTTTTTGAAGACTGTTAATAAAGATGACTCCTCATTATCAGTTTAATTCATATCCTGTCTTTCACTGCTCTAGGCAAGCTATGGTATCAGTTTCTTAGGTAACTTGAAGGGATACCTTATACATACACAAGCATGTATAATACATTATTCCTCCTCTTTCTATACAAAGGTAAGCCCACTCTGAAAAGTGAAAGCTACAGTCGCTAGGTCATGTCTGACTCTTTGCACCCCATGGACTGTAGCCTACCAGGCTCCTCTGTCCATGGGATTCTCCAGGCAAGAATACTGGAGTGGGTTGCCATTCTCTTCTCCAGGGGATCTTCCCAACCCAGGGATCAAACCCAGATCTCCTGCATTGCAGGAGGATTCTTTACCGACTGAACCACCAGGAAAGCCCCAAGCCCACTCTACACATACTCTTATGTATCTATAAATTTTAGTAAACCTTTATTGAGCTAAAAACACATAAATAATAAATGTACAAACTGAAGAGTTCTAAGTGAACAAATCTATGTAAAGAGCTCACAAACCAACAACCAGAATATCACCAGGACCCCCACCCTCATATCCCTTTTCTAGGTAAAGTATAACCATTATTGCAACACTCTAGTTTAGTCTATTTATTTTAACATTATATAAATGGAATTACATAGTATATACTTTAAAGCACTGGTGTTATGAGATTCATCTACATTGCTGGGTAAAACCGTAGTTCTGTAGTTCTCATGACTGTATGATATTCTACTGTGTGAAAATAGTGAAATTTATTGTGTCAAACTATAGCAATTCATCTTCTGATGATACCAGTATTGTAATCATGGAATAAACCTCACTTCAAGCATTCCTTTTTCACATATACTACTTGTGGACTGGCAATATTTTGTTTAGGAATTTTTATATTTATGTTCATGGTTGAGACAGGCCTAAACTTTTCCTTTCCCGCATTAGCTTTGTCAAGTTTTGACGGGAAATTATGCTGGCCTTATAAAACATGTCCCTCCTTTTTTAAGTTTCTGGAATTGTTACTCTAAGAATGAAATTATCTGCTCCTTTAAGTTTATTAAAAATCACCAATATAACTCTCTGGGCTTGAAATTTGTGGGAAAAAATTTTATTACCAATTCTTTTTTTTTTCAGATTTTCTTTTTCATATTTAGCTAGTTTTGCTAAAGTTTCATTTTTCTTGGCATTTGTTCATTTAGCCTAAGCCTTCAAATATACTGGCAATGATATCCCTGTTCTTTTTAATACCTGCAGGACTTATGAGTTCTGTCATTCCAACAGTTGCTCACTGAGCCTTCTTTCTTTTTCTCTTTAGTCTCACCAAAGGCCAGTTAATTTTCTTAGTGTTTTCACAGGACCAGTTTTGGGCATCATGGACCCTTTTTAGAAAAAGGGAGAACTGACTGTCTGTTAGACTCTTCACCTTGGGCTACCATGGACCTTTTCTTCCATCCTGCCAAGACATGAAAACCCAGCATTTAAGTTCAACAGCTTAACAATAAGTTATCTTTGAATTCCCTCTCAATTCACCCCCTGGCCTGAGAATTTCCCACATTCTTGACAATGTATGAATGCATATTTTATTAGCCATCCTCAATTGTTTCTCTGGAATTATTTTCCCAGCATCTAGTCTGCCATGGTTACAGACATGTGTTACCTTTTATTCCAAAGTTAAACTTACAGAATTCTGCTTGTTAGTAAAACATCACTTTCTTAAGGATTGCTTAATTTCCCATCCATTTGAGTGCCAGACCCTCAAGGTAGTTCCACCTCAGATCATACATTTATCCAAATAACTCTTAAAGCATTTTGGCATCTAATGCAAGAATGGTCCCGTAAACCAGGACTTCCAACTAATCACCTGATTTATACTCTGGCTCCAAGCCAGGGAAACAGCTTCAAAGCCAAACTGAAATTCTTCACTTTCTGTTATTTTTCCACAGTCGCAGAGAACACAGTCAGCTGTCTCCACTCGGACATTCATCCCGTTTCATGCCCACCTTACAACAGTTGTTATGTAGTTTTGGATACAGACACCGTACAGTAGTCATGTATGGATGTGAGAGTTGGATCATAAAGAAGTCTGAGCGCCAGAGAATTGACACTTCTGAACTGTGGTGCTGGAGAAGACTCTTGAGAGTCCCTTGGACTGCAAGGAGATCAAACCCGTCAATCCTAAAAGAAATCAGTCCTGAGTATTCTTGGAAGGACTGATGCTGAAGCTCCAATACTTTGGCCATCTGATTCATTGGAAAAGACCTTGATGGTGGGAAAGATTGACGGCAGGAGGAGAAGACAGTGACAGAGAATGAGATGGTTGGATGGCATCACCGACTCAATGGGTATGAGTCTGAGCAAGCTCTAGGTGATAGTGAGGGACCGGGGAGCCTGGTGTGTTGCAGTCCATGGAGTCATGACTTAGACACTGAACAACAATTGAGACATGAAGGTAATAAAATCTGAGTAGAAGAAAAGAAGTGATACACACCACACCAAACAATGAAGAAATTCTCCACAATTTAAAAATGTGCTTCGGGTCACAGTATGATTTTCAAAAGCACATGTTTTAAGACATTAAAAAAAAAACAAAACAAAAAAAACCCAGACTAGAGCAGGGATTCAAGTATGTGACCTAAACTGCCTCCACTAAGACACTAAGGAGGGAGCTCTAGGCAGACAGTGTGCAGTGCCAGCAGCACCAGATGGTTTGCTTAAATCACAAGCTAATAAACTTCGATTCAGAATCAGAAGGGAACAAGTCATGGCTTCAGCATGGGCCAGTTTCCCTAGGACAGCAAAGAGCCTGGGTGCTGCAGGGCTGGCAAAGCTGTGTCTTCGTGTTTCCCACAACCAAAAGCAAAATGTGGTCTGTAGTTTTCAGGATGCTTCTGGAAAATCTTGTTAGAATTTCTTGGGAATATAAGCGGCCTAAGTCTCCAAAGAGAAAAAGAAAACAATCAGAAGAAAAAAGGAAGGGCACAAAAAGAAGATTATTTAGAGGTTAGGCATTCATTCGTAAGTCAGATTTTCATAGGGCAAGTCCACTTGTGTTCCTGATTTCAACAGAATTCTAGATTAAGACTCACTCTGCCACACAATCACCAAAAAAAAAAAAAGTCACCTAGCTCTTGAGTTGAGAAGTTTGACTGAAGCATGAATGAGCACAGACACACATACCTACACATACACATTCCACTACCTTCTCCTAACAAACTGCTGTAGGTGTCTTACAATCAGTAACTCATATGAGAATTTGAATTTAGAAAATTCCCAAGAGATTTATGCTAGTATTTATATAAGAAATATTCTCAAAAAAAAAAAAAGAAATATTCTCTTTATCCCAGTATGTTCTTCTGGCTAATGCATGGTACTTCTTTGGTAAGATATACACCAGCAGTGCACTCTTTTATGAATACGGAAGAGTTACAGCTATTACAATAAGAATAATAGTGACTGATACTATTTGAGTCCTTTGAAATATTCTAAGCACTTTACATGTGCTGTATCATTAAACTCTCACAAAGATCCTATGAGGTGGTATTAATATTATCCTCAATTCTACAGAAGAGGGAATGGGGTTCAGCGGGTTTAAGTGCCTTACTCCGGGTCACACGGCCAGAGGAGGCAGAGCTGGGAATCC